TAATAATTAAGCTATGCATTTGTTTCATGTAGTTTTCTGTATCTGTTACATTTTACAACTTTAAAAATTTTTTAAACATGTTAATCTGACTTTTAGAAATAATTGGTTCAGCTTAATTTGGGAGAAAGAAATTCTGCTTGAACTACCCTCTGCACTTTGGTTGGCACTGCCTACTTTTTTCTCATGAGTAGTCTTTTGAATTACTTAAATGTAATTCACTGTTAAAATGGAATGCTAGTGGGCCAGCCCGGTGGCGCACTCAGTGGAGTGCGGCGCTTGGGAGCGCAGCAGCATTGCCGCCGAAGGTTCAGATACCATATAGAGACCGGTCTGCTCACTGGTTGAGCGCGGTGCGGGCGCGACACCGAGGGTTGCGATCCCGTTGCCGGTCACGAAAAAAGACAAAAAGGAAAAAAAAAAAACGAATGCTAGTGACAGCACCTATAATTTTCATAGCATTAACTTGAAGACCTGCTTATCTTTCCTGAAGCTTAACTCTCTGAGGAAGGAGCCTAGACTCAGATATCACACTGTGTTTAATATGCCTTCCCATTCATGTATTTTCCAAGAAGTCACAGGGTGTATTAGTTTGTTTTTGTGTTGCTGTAACAAAATACCTGAGACTGGGTAATTTATCAAGAAGAGATTAATTTGGCTCACAATTCTGGGACAGCTGCATCTGGTGCAGGCCTGAGGCTGCTCCTATTCATGGCAGAAGGTAGCAAGGCAGGTGATGTGTACAAAGATCACATGGTGAGAGGAAACAAAAGAGGGAGGAGAGGTGCCAGGCTCCTTTTAATAACTAATCCATTCCTGGGAGAGCTCACTCACCCCCTACTTCACCCCCATCCCCACCTCACCCAGGGAAAGCATTAATCTGTTCATGAGGTATCCGCCCCTATGACCCTAACACCTCCCAACACTACCACACTGAGGATCAGATTTCAACATGATCTTTGTGGGGACAAACATATCCAAACTATATCAAAGGGCTATGCTCAGAAGTAACTCACCAGAGGGGAGGAAACAAGCCATTAGTTATGGAAGACAGAGGGAGAGAAAGTCAGTTTCCAGAGAATTCAGTTAATCAGGACACAGACGGAAAGGGTAGAGTACATGAGGATTTGGAGAGGTGGAGAAAGGAGTAATACTGGAAGCTGTATAAGAATAGAGACCATACCGTTGTTGTGTACCACTGTGAACCAGTGCCTAGCACAGTGCTTTATATACAAGTACTGAATAAAGATCTGTGGATCATGTAGTATAGCTATGATAAGTAAGTGGATCTGGGTGCATTAAATTTAGGATAAATCTCACCAACACTGAATTTGCACCTTGCATTCTGTAATGGGCATTTTGGCAACAGGGTGGAAGAGAGTCTTTAAAGTTAGCTTGCCACACCAAACAATCTAAGCTGTTTTACACTTCTAGCTGTATGAGAGATCAAAGAATTTTAGAGATATATAACATTGTCCCTTACTTCAAGAAACTTACGGTCAGTCTCAGGAGTCAAAAAAAATCAAAATTCCCACAAGAGATCCCAAATTCTCATGGGATATTCCCATCAGAAATTTCCATGAAAGATAATGACAGGTGGTCACAACGGGCAACATAATGGGGATTTCAAAATCCCACGAAAATTTGAATATCAGAAAATAACTATAATAATTTAAATATAAATATATGGTAGTTACTATAATACAAGATGGCAAACGTGATATTCATGGTACTCAGTACAAAAATAGTGCAACAGATTTCCTTTTTGCTTTTTCAAATTAAGTGCCCACATTTTTAATTATGTCTTTTTATATATAGGGCTGCAGAGTGAGTTATATGATGTTACCAAAGCTGTTGCTAACTCAAAGCAGTTGCAAGTAAAGCTTACTTCCTTCCAGGCTGTTCATTTTTCTCCTGTTTCAACTCTGCCAGACACTGGTTCCCTGTAAGTAAACCAAGTTTCTGCATTTGGGGCAGGACTTACTGCTATAAAAGTACAAGTAGCAGTAATAAGAGTCTCATTAAGGAATATTTAGGCACTTTGGATTTGAGCCATTGAACCTAAATTTGTGTGTGCATGTGCGTTTTTTTATTTACTCTTCTTTTCTTCCTTGTGCTTAACTGCTCATAATTTCCTTGAAAATCAAATCAGTATCTTTGTCCATAGTTGTAAATGAACTTGGGAAACCTATATTTTCATAGTATACACTGAAAATTGATTTCTTGGTGTCTTCCTCCCCAAGATAATTCTAAATAATCTCTATTGTCTGAGTCCAGGGTTATTTTCTGGTCTTTGTTGCTTCAGGGGTAAGGGTAAATAACTTATGATTTATGTTGAACTCTTATGTGCCAGGCACTGAATGTTTTAAATATATGACCCATTTAATTCTTTACACAAACCTATAAAGTAGAACTATTATTATTCCCTTTATAAACAGAGTTCAGGTAGCACACAGGAGTAAATTGTAGAGCCAGGAAATAATCCTAAAATATCCAATTCCGGCATGCAATCTTTAAGAACATTTGTTAGATTGTATCTGCATTTGTTCTTCCTTTCTCTTACTTAGGAGTCCCTGCTCTGTCATTTACTAATTGCCTTCCTTTCAGTTTAACTTTACTTTGCCTCAATTTCTTCTTTTCAAAAATTAAGTTATATCTTTTTTGCAGACAAGATACTTGAAAAGTACTCACTTCAATGAATGTTAGTTTTATTTCTACAGTGAATGTTGAAGGAATTGTTGAGCAAAACAAGATTAAACCTAAAAAATAATGGGCACTTTATATCACAGGAAAGCAACTGGATTTTTCTTTTATTGTTTTTTTCTTTAAAAGAATTTTAAACGTACACAAAAGTTGAAAGAATAGTGTAAAGAACCTCACACCAATACATAGCTAAAATACCTATCTAATCTTATTTAATCTATGCTCCTATGTACTTTTTTATTTTTAGGTTTAGTTTTTTTATATATTTTTGTCTCTATATATTCTTTTCACCTTCTGGATTATTTTGCAGGTAGTGTCCCAGACATAATTCTTAAATACTTTTATTTTTATTTTTATTTTTTTATTTGTTTGTTTGTTTGTTTGTTTGTTTGTTTTTTATAAAAGGTGACCATTAAGGGGATCTTAACCCTTGACTTGGTGTTGTCAGCATCACGCTCAGCCAGTGAGCCAACCAGCCATCCCTATATGGGATCCGAACCCATGGTCTTGGTGTTATCAGCNCAACTGGATTTTTCTTTTATTGTTTTTTTCTTTAAAAGAATTTTAAACGTACACAAAAGTTGAAAGAATAGTGTAAAGAACCTCACACCAATACATAGCTAAAATACCTATCTAATCTTATTTAATCTATGCTCCTATGTACTTTTTTATTTTTAGGTTTAGTTTTTTTATATATTTTTGTCTCTATATATTCTTTTCACCTTCTGGATTATTTTGCAGGTAGTGTCCCAGACATAATTCTTAAATACTTTTATTTTTATTTTTATTTTTTTATTTGTTTGTTTGTTTGTTTGTTTGTTTGTTTTTTATAAAAGGTGACCATTAAGGGGATCTTAACCCTTGACTTGGTGTTGTCAGCATCACGCTCAGCCAGTGAGCCAACCAGCCATCCCTATATGGGATCCGAACCCATGGTCTTGGTGTTATCAGCACCACACTCTCTCGAGTGAGCCACGGGCCAGCCCCCTTAAATATTTTTAAACATACCTCTAAAAGATAAGGATTTTTTTTTTTTAAAGAACTATAGAAATATCATTCCTGTGTCCCTGAGACCACCCGCAGGCCTCACAGGACTCAGCAAATATGAGGGTACTTCAAAAAGTTTGTGGAAAAATAGAATTAAAAGATCATACAAATCTTTCCATGAACTTTTTGAAGTACCCTCGTATANCAACTGGATTTTTCTTTTATTGTTTTTTTCTTTAAAAGAATTTTAAACGTACACAAAAGTTAAAAGAATAGTGTAAAGAACCTCACACCAATACATAGCTAAAATACCTATCTAATCTTATTTAATCTATGCCCCTATGTACTTTTTTATTTTTAGGTTTAGTTTTTTATATATTTTTGTCTCTATATATTCTTTTCACCTTCTGGATTATTTTGCAGGTAGTGTCCCAGACATAATTCTTAAATACTTTTATTTTTATTTTTATTTTTTTATTTATTTGTTTGTTTGTTTGTTTGTTTGTTTTTTATAAAAGGTGACCATTAAGGGGATCTTAACCCTTGACTTGGTGTTGTCAGCATCACGCTCACCCAGTGAGCCAACTGGCCATCCCTATATGGGATCCGAACCCATGGTCTTGGTGTTATCAGCACCACACTCTCTCAAGTGAGCCACGGGCCAGCCGCCTTAAATATTTTTAAACATACCTCTAAAAGATAAGGGGTTTTTTTTAAAAGCACTATAGAAATATCATTCCTGTGTAAGGGGTCCCTGAGACCACCCGCAGGCCTCACAGGACTCAGCAAATATGAGGGTACTTCAAAAAGTTTGTGGAAAAATAGAATTAAAAGATCATACAAATCTTTCCATGAACTTTTTGAAGTACCCTCGTATAGTTATACTCATGAATATGACTGATTACAATTATAAGATACAAAGCAAAATCAAAAGAAGGAAAAGGGGATTGATAAAGTCCACAGGAAACCAAGCACAGGATTCCAAGAGTCCTGTCCCAGTGGAGTCACACAAGTGTTTAATTCCTCAGTAATAAGTTGTGACAGTATATGTGAAATGTTGTCTACCATGGAAGCTCTTTAAAGACTCGGTGCCCAGGATTTTTACTGGAGGCACCCTATGCCTAGCATAGACCAATTTCCTAGACCTCCAGAAGGAAAACAGGTGTTCAGCATAAACCATATATTTGTACAGTTTAGTCACAGCCACTCATATCAGTCTTGGGAATGCCAGGACCCCTCCATATACATATTACCAGACACCAGCCAAGGGCAAATCTTGCAATTAGGCCTGTCTAAGAATAATGGCCTCAAGCCTGCTATGTTAATTCATTTCTGCACAACCCCTTAAAATTTTATTAACAATATTTCCTTAAAGTAAAATAACTAGTTAGTTTCTTCGTTTCCCAATTGTTATAATATTTTTGTAGTATTGGTTAATATATCTTAAGTTTCTTTTCACATATATGTTTCTCTTTATCTTTTTTATTTCTTATATTACTTTTTAAAAAAATAAATCAGGCTATTTGTCTCTTAGAGTTTCCCACAATCTATTTACTGTTGTATCCTGAAGGTGTTATTTAAAATTTTCCTCTGTCCCCAGTCAGGCCTAAATCAGGTTTTAACTTGATCTCTTCTGCACAGGAAGTTAGACAACTTATCTTTAACATCTAAGTCATTACCCAAATTTGTGAACTCTATTTTAAATATCCTGCCCTTCAGATGCAAGGTGAGAGTTTCAAACGTAACTATTCCTAAAACTCTTGCCTGGGCCATGTTTTATTTGCAGCATTTCTGCATGAGGCTTCTTTGCTCTTGCTTTAAATGTCATTTTTAAAACTGAACTTGAAAATCCTATTAAGCCAGTTATTGTTGTAGATTTTTTTTTATCCCTCTTAGTGGATAGATGCCTGGCCCAGAGCCATAGCTGACAGTATGCCTGGAATGTGAGCTAATACTCATGCTCCTAATAAAAAGAAAACACAGTTTGTGCTGTATAAAAATCATAACAAGAACAACATTACCAGTCTTTTACCAGTCACTGGGGATGGCCTTATGATATTGATAACTTCAAGAAAGAAAGCAAGTCTGAGACACACAGTCTTGTAGGCTTTCAACTAAGTGATTCATCTCGGTTCTTAGAAATTTCACCAATTCCTTTTTTTTAATCTTAATTTTTAATCTTAATATCAGGCCCTTTACACAGTAAATTAATAGAAATTATATAACCTTAGAATAATTATAGTGAAGGCTAGAGACCTATAAAAATATTGCCAGTGGTAAAGCTGGAGGTTGGGAAAATTTAACCTAGAGAAGAGAAGACCTAGGGAAAGGTCTGGAAAAAGTAACATTTCTAGAGCCTGACATGTTAGGCAATTTGTATTTTTTTTCTGGCCATGGGTACATAATGACCTAAGTTTTATATTAAAACATTTATTTTACTGAACAAAAGATTGGGGCTCAAAGAGTCTGGACATGTCTAAAAAGCCTCACAGAGAGTCTCAGTAGACTCAGACTTAATAAGAGCAATTCTGAGAATTTGTTTACAGAAAGTGTTAAAAGATTAACCTTAGAAAAATTAAATTTGTCAGAGTTTATTTAAGCAAAGAATGATTCATGAATTGGGCAGCACTCAAAACCAGAACAGG